GAAGATAAATCTTTCCTGTGTTCCATGGTGTCCCTTAAATAAATGGTGCTTTATCTCCTTTGCCCAAATGGGGGTGTCTATGAACACAGACACGTGTATGCATGTGTCTGTGTGCATATTTGTATATGAGGATGTGTGTGTGTGTGTGTGTGTGGAGGGGGGGGGGTTCTTTTTGTTTCATTTAAATTTCTATCAATGTTTTATTTTATACAGTTTACGTGACAATATAAAAATAAAGATACAGACAGTTGCTCTTTATTAAGACATCAGAATTTCTTATAGCCCATGCAGATCAGAGACAGAGAGCTCCTGATCTGTTGCTGCTGGTATTGTGAAGCTTTGAACCCAGAATTGCTCAGAGTTGACCTTAAGGGCTAGTTCACACTATCTGCTTTGGGCTGCCCTGGCTTTTTATTCCAGTGCAGCCTTAATGCAAGACAAGGCAAACTGCCTTGTCATAGATGCGCTCAGTTCACACCACTGCATTTCGGTGGTGTGCTCCTAAAAAAAGTATGATATGCAGTACCTTTTTAAGTGCACCGCAGTGAGACACAGTACAACCACATCACACTGCAGTGAGCTCAGAGAACTGAATCCAATGTCACTTGTGACATTTCAATAAAGTTCTACAAAAAAAAAGAATCAGTGTGATGTGGCTTGTTCAAATGCATCTGCACAAGTTGGGGGACATGCATACCAGCAGCCATGCACTTAAGCGCGGTTGCTGGTGTGATCCTCAAAGTTTTGATCAGGGTTGGCACCACTCAGTCTACAAATATGCTGTGTGTTGTCAGCCCAAAAACAGGACTTGCATTTCTGGCAGATCAACTGGAATGTTTTTGCACTTGCAGAGTCTAAAGGCATGAAGAAATGTGAATTTATGTCAGAGATGTACTGCATGTGGTTTTTTTTTCCGTTTGCCCTAACATACACTGAGTGGCCAGATTATTATGACCACCCCCATCAGTACTTCGTTGGGCCACCTTTTGCCTTCAATACTGCGGCGATTCTTCTTGGCATTGACTCCACGAGATGTTGAAAGGTGATGCGAGGAATCTGACACCAAGCCTGATGAATAGTACTGTCCAGTTCTGTGAGATTTGATGGTTGTGGAGTTAAAAAGATTACAAGAATACTGCAAAGTAACTTAAACAGTAGCTTACCATAAAAGGAACAGAATTGAACGTAAAACCACTGATAACTTATTTGTTTATTACTCTGATTAGGTTTACACCTTTCTACTTACATTAAGGGGGTTATTCATTAAAGTTCAGCTGGGCCTTCAGTTCGCTTCGGCTGCAGAAACCCTTAATTTCAGTCGAACCAAAGGACTACTCTGCACGCTATTCTCAAAAGCGTGTGCAGCACCCAAAGGCAGCCGAAATAAACAGCCAAAAGCAGCAGAGCCTAACGAACATGCTTTGGCTCAAAAAAGCGGAACAAACAGCCAGAGTAGGGTGAATGGTCCGCCGAAGCGGACTGAATCCCTGTAATGTTGCTGGGAGAATGGTCCGCCAAAGTAGACCAAATCCCTGTAATGTTGAAAAAAAAATAGAAGGAAATGAAAAACAGCATGGGGTTATCCTCCCCAATTCATACTAGACCCTTTAGGTCTGGTAGGAATGTTACGGGGACCCCTGATGTCCCCCCCCCCATCATGGGATCTCGAGTGGGCTCTGCAAGGGGCATAACTAGAAATCACAGGGCCAAATACAAAATTTTGCTATGAGGCCCTGTGATTTCTAGTTACGCCCCTGATGACCATGTATCTCAATGGTCATTAACGTAATTGTGAGTGTCTTTCATGGATGGGATAATCACTCTGCTGATTAAACAAATCCTCCTTTTGTATTACACAGCAGGTGCCACTCTCTCAGCGAGGGGAGACGTTCAATATAGAGGAGGAATAAATGCGCCAAATGGTGAAGTACGTAAAAGAAATTTAATTTATTGCAACAATAAAACACACTTACAAGATAGCCAGAATGAAAACGCCTTGCAGCAAAAAATCAATCGATTCCATAAGCAAACCGGAACCAGAAATCCACCCGCTAGTCACCTATGGTGTGGCCTCAGTTCGTGTTCAATCCTTTCCAACGCGTTTCATCCCTTGACTTTTTCCAGGAAAGGTTCACAGCGGCATTCGGCTTGACTATTCTGCTCGGTACCTCTGTGGTCCGGAGCAGAATAGAAAAACAGTTTAAAAAGGAGAAAAATAAAATAGAAAACGATTAGCAGAGCCGGAGGTGAAAGCCGACTCTGCTGAGTTGTCATGGTACTGACAGATCAGCATACCCTGATTACCAAGTAACCAGAGGACGCTGAACTGTCAGTACCATGAGAGCTCAGCAGATTCGGCTTTCATATCACCTCCAGCTCTGCTAAGCTCTCATTGTAATGCAGGGGGGAGAGAGCACCCCCCTGAAATGATGTCAATGGAAATGATGCTGCTGTCAATCACTAGAAGAGGACCTGATGGAGAAATTCAGGTCCCCTCTGCTGATTGACAGCAACAGTGGGCTGGTGCAATAGCTAGTTTGCTATTGGCTATTGCAAAGTGAAATAGCCAATAGGAATGTAGCTATGCATTCCTATGCTGTTTTTTTTTTTCTGACTGACGGCGGTCGGCGACTCCAATGTTAGAAGAAAAAAAAACAGAGCAGGGAAACGTTTACTCTGCTCAATCCAGCAGAGTAAGCCTTTCCGGGAGAAAGTGTTTCTCTCCCGGGCGGCCTGGAGCCGCTATCTAATAGCGGGAGACTCCCGGAGCATCCGGGAGAGTTGGGATGTCTGGTAATGACAGATCAGCATCCATGGTTACCTGGTGTCTCTGCAAGTGGCCAGAGCCAGCCGTGAGATGATGGCTGGCTCCAACCAGCTGTCAGTAGCAGGCCATTGGCCGGCCTTTCGGCCAGCTTAGGCTTTCACCTCGGCTCAGTCGAGCCGAGGCATATGTCTTAGTGAGTCTACTGAACCGAAGGGGTCCTGGGGCCGAAGCTAGCCGAAGGATCAGCCAAAGCTACGGCTAGATCCTTCGGCAGCTTTGTGAATAGACCCCTAAATAAACCATGGAACCATAAATGACAACTAATTGCTAAAAAACTATTTAGGTCTAATTCCGCATTAAGTCCCCCTGGATACATAATTTGTAACGCATAGATGCATTTGGTTTCATTTTGTGAAATATTTATTTTTAAATTAGATTCCCTCCAATGTTTAGATATTCTGTCAATGCCTACCATTTTTAAACCACTTAGATCTTTTGTATGACAATGTTTTGCATCCAAATGTCTGAATTTACAGAAATTCGTAACAATTTTAATTTGGGACGAAAAGAATTGCACATGTCTACCTCCGTGGAGAATAGAGTTGAGCAACAGAGAATGAACTGCCAAACCGAAGGGAAGAGCCCGTTCGCCTCAGCCCATGCAACATCTGAATCAGCTGAGGGGAAATGGCTCTTCCCTTTGGTCACCCAAATGTGCTGAGGCTGTTCGGCCGAGCCGAAGGGAGGTGAAGTGAGCCGAATGCAGCCGATGTATGGTCTAAAACAGTCGTACATGGCTGCAGTGAAAAGCTGAACAGGCTTCGGCTCACCTGGCTTATTAATTCGGCTGCCTTTGGCAGCTTAGTGAATAGCCCCCTAAGTATAGTTTGCCAGATTGCTGACATATGTGAATTAGACATATCTCATAACAATTCTTCTTAAGAAATTCACAAGTGTGAAAAACTAGATGAAACTGTCAGTGTATTGCTGGGGGTTTATTGCAAATAAAGGGAAATCACGATAATACTAAAATCCCCTGCAGTTTTGTATTATACAGAATTTCCAATGTGATTTCCCAGACTTGTATCAATTAATTGCATTGTTTAAGAAGCTAAGCATTCAGTAATGTGAAAACAGTAACGCAGATGTACTAGGAAGCAAAGTAATTTGTAAACAACATCTTGTTTATAAGTGCTGAATAACTACAACATTGAGACAAACATTGCTTTATGTGGAAGTTTTTTTTGCTTTTATTGTCCTTGTCTCTAATTAATGTATCTTACCTTTTTACTTTACTGCACTATGGCCAGGATTCTAGAGATATTAGGCTAAGGGAATTGTTGCTATGGCCTGTAGGGACAATCCTACAATAAAATAGTGGAGTTTCCAATGCCATCACATGGTAAATCTTAGTGAACTGAATGACCTTTGATTGTGCCATCTTCAGTAGGAGGAGCTCATTTATGTGAATGTCATTGAATAATCCACTTGAAGGTATTTGGGCAATTTGCTTGGTTGGTTCATTTGTAAGTAACATAAGATTACTAATAGGGAATTTTTAAATGTTATCCCCATGTGTGATATGCATTGTGCAATATATAAATCTTATATAAATATTAGTAAGGGGGTTTAAGAGTTAGGTTTATGACTGAGTTTATGTGGTTTCTATTTAAAGCTGAACTCCAGGCATATATAAAAGGCACAAATAATAATGCAGCCCTGTATTCATTAATACTTCCTTAAAATATTTTAGATACAAAAGTCAATTTTGGATACTTATACTGCATGTATCAGCCTATAGAGCTCATGTGCTAATGCTGATGAGATGCGTGAACAAAGTGACAGAGAGATGAGTTTATCAGTTTGCTGCTTCTTCTTTCACTGTCCAGTCACCAGCTAGGGGCATGACAAGACCTTTATTTGACCCTGTTAACTTGCCCATGAAGAAAAATGTGATTGTATTTCTGGAAAGAGTTTTACCTGACCATTATATACTCTTCTAATTCAATTAGATAAACTGTGTCTGTGACTTGGGGGAAGCAGTAATGTCATTCCCCCAGTCATGTGACAATGCTTGGGTCTCCAAAATTGCTACTAGGCCCAAAAACCATTACAGGGGAGTATATTGCATGCTCCGCTAAGCCTGGGAGGTGGTCTGGTCTTAACTATCAACAAAACTGTACCTTATTTGTGTATCACTCAGCTGTAGATCCACTACCATCTCTGAACGTGTGCTGACACTGTCTTTCCTTCGGAAAGGTGGCTACTTTTGTTCCCTATGGTCCCTGTGTGTGTTGTAAATTAGCCACCGCTCCAAGCTCCAAGCTATTTTACCACATCACAGCAACCACAGGGAACAAAGTAGCCGCCCTCCAGAAAGAAGGACAATATCAGAGCAAAGTCAGAGACAATATGAAGATCTAGAGCTCGGTGGTACACAAATAAGGTACAGTTTTGTTAATAGTTAAGGTACTTGAATGCATTAAGATTTAACTCCCGTGTTTATTGTCACTTTGAGTAACATTTGCTGACATTTACCACCAACATCTGTACTTAATTGGAAAAGTGCACTGTTCTGTTCACCCTATTTATAAACTGTTCAATGTCATATTTACCACAAATGTACCAGATGTCATAATTGTACATCTCTCTACACTACAAATTTCAGCAAGTAGAGATAGCAGTTTCACAGGAAAGTAGCAGTTGGTAATGTTGAAATTTTCAACTGATCACGTGGTTTTCTTTCAAGATAAACATGTTCCAGAAATGTCCGGTCATGCTCTTTTTCCTGCATACATTAACTTAAAGTGCATTTCCGCTTTTGCAGCCAAAATTGAGAAACCCCCCCACTATGTGCTTGTTATGTGTTCCTATTCACAAAGCTTATTTTAAAGTAATTTTTTAAAGAACATTTCTTACCTTTTAGATGTGTCTTTGTAGCAGGCCTTTGCATTTGTCTCTGAATTTCATTAACAGGAAACTCTGAGGGCCGGTTCACACCACCTGCATTGAAGCTGCACTTGCTGTTGTTTCCAGAGTAGCCCCAACGCAAGACAAGGCAATCTGCTTCATCAGTGCCCATCAGTGCCCATTCACACCACTGCATTGCAATAGGAACATGGTAGTGTGCACTGAAGAAAAGTAAGGCATGCCTTACTTTTTTCAACGCAGCATGATGCAATGTGGTACAACTGCCTCCCACCCCCACTGTGCCCATAGAACATGATTGAAATGATACTTGTGCCATTTCAATAAAGTTCTAACAAAAAGTAGACAATGCTGTGCCCTGGGATCAGTGCTTTGGCACTGTGACAGGCACCGCACACCAGATATTGTGCAATTAGTAGATATGTACGATACGCTTCGTTCTGAATCAAAGTTTGGATGCATTTTCCGAAATTCAGACATTTGGACACATCTGAATTTCCGAAGCCCAATGCACCCGAATGTGCTCAAATCCAAATTTCCGTTTCTGAATTTCGGATCCCGTCCGGATTTCATTCAAAAACAAAACTGAATGGGACATATGACTTTTCTGGCCAATCAGATGTGTTTTTCGGTTTAATGCATCCGAATGGGTCTAAACATGAATTTGCGTTATGGCAACATGGGAGCCATATACAGTATATACATACAGTATAATACTAAAGCTGAGGCTCCTACACCTGAATAGCATTCGAGATCCAAATTTTTCCGAATTGCATTCGGGAGCTCCAATGCCATTTGGGTCTTGGAGTGTCAGTTTTAGTAATATATGTATATGGCTCCCGGACCCGAATGGTATTCGGGAGCTTCTGAATGCAATTTGGAAATTCGGATCCCGAATGCCATTCGGGTCTAGGAGATTCAGCTTTAGTATTAATTTCTGATATGGTTTTCTGTGGTATTCGCAACAAATATTCGTAAACTCATCCGAAACTATCGAATCCGAATCCGAAACGCGAACCAAATTGAATTTCGGATTCGAATTATGAAATAATGAAATATCCTAACCAAATTTTTCTGCAACACACATGTCTAGCGATTAGCGTAACATCTGGTGTGAATTGGCCCTCACTGTCCTAATAGCAAGGTGAAGGACAAACTCAGCTCCCCCTCATTAACATACAATGTCTTCAGGGCTTTAACACGTTGTTAGGACAGAAAGTCTTGCCAGCACAGTACAGACAGGGTTAATTATTTGAAACAAAACTCCACCCAACCCCTAGACAGTGAGAACAAAGCTGTTTTTTCAGTTCTAGAGCCAGCAGAAATATCATCTAAAAAAAGGTAAGGTGCATTTTTTTAAAGTTATGCTATGTGAATGGGAACATGTAACAAAACTTTCCTTCTGGGAAGCTTTGGAAGCTGTATTCTGTATAATGGATTAAAATAAAATTTGGATTTATTTGGAGGAAGCATTGAGTGCGGCTCTTCTTGGATAAAAATTCATACAGGTGGGAGCAAGCCTTTTACCAGCACCTGGAGTTTCCTCTTAATATGAATCTGACTGTGGAATCTGAGCTGTGAGTGTTGTGGATTATTTAAATATAAAGTAAGTGTTATCCCAATCTGGCTGTAAAATTGGAAATACGCTTTGAAAATAGAATTCAAGCATTCATGACTACATAGAAAAAAAATAAAACAGTTAAATTGTGTCTGCACATCCAACATGCAACCTTCCTTGATTAGCTTGTGGACAGTGATTAGTTTTCATATAGCAAAACAATGTACATAAGGGTATGTTTCAGTTGTATCACTTCTTCACAGTTTTATTTTTTAATTTTACCACGGGTATACATTTCAAGTAGGATACCTTTATCTAAAAAGTCCTGTGGATGGTGAACATTTAAACTAAGAGTCTTATCTAGAATACCTGCTGATTCTGAGGCTGAGATATGGTGGTATCACTGTATATCTTTCCCTTTTATCCTTGTCAAGGTTTCTTTAGTTTTCTTCTTTTAGAATGGTACAGTGTCCAATGCCAATATATTTGAGCACCTGACCAAACTGCCAATGAAAATTTATAGAACACAAAGGGCTACTGTGGTTAGATAAATGGTCCCTTCTTAGCCTGGCCTATGCAATTGTGCCTGAGCCTACTGCTGTCATGAGCACTCTGCCAGCTACTAAACAAAAGAGTAAACTTAAGACATTCTGCAAAGGTCAAGCTGTTTGAACTTGCATTGCTAATAACAGGGATTCTAGCTTATTACATTAATGAAAAGTGGTATAAATTTAAAGTTAATATTGTGTCTGTTTGTGTTAACCTTTACTTTGCAGAACCTGTTTTTTAGGAAACCCTTAGCAATAAGACAACCTCTATATGGCTAGAAAATCATTTTAGCATAATAAAAAGATGATTGTGATGTCTTCAAAGTTTTATCATCAATGCAATCAGTTAGCATGTAATGTGACATGCATATTTTCCAGTTTTGCCCACATAAACCAGTTATTTAACCATATGAGCTATTGTATTTGCATTCTTCTAATGGATCTGAGCATGAACCAGAGTACTTTTTACAAATAAGGGCCAAATCATTTAGTAATACTTATTTTACCACAATATTAAATCGATTTTTCTTTTGCCAGTATTGCCTTACAAATTTTATTTTCTATGCAATCTAAAAACAAAAACAGTACCAAACAAATACTGTTTTTTACTAACTTGTATAATTTTATACAATTAGTGTTCATGGGGAGAAAAAGTATATTTGTTATGTGTACACCATTAGTACACCAAAATTATGTTTTGAGGACAAATCAAGGTAAAGTTATTTACTAGTGAAATAAATACTTAAAATAAGGTGAAGAAATTTAAAGTCAGGCAACATAAATTGGTGAGGGGAGATGGGGAGGGAGTGGTTAATCAGGGCTGGTTAGAGCTATTAAAAAGTTAAAGTGATATTAAAGTCAAAAGGCTTTCACACTATTTAAAATGCAGATTAAATAACTTACTATGGATGGTGCTTCTTGATGTTTAAAAGTTTAAGTTTCCTGCAGAATCAGCTCTTCTCAGCTCTGGCCCTGACATCCTGTTGTAGGGTTGCTCCTTTCCCTTGCAGGGTGCCACCCTTGTGTGTGCTATTAAGCTGTGTGTGTCTCCACAAACACACATTCACAGCAGGGTAAACCACTCCCCTGCTCCCTGCCCCCTCCCCCCCTCATCCCTCTTCCCTTCTCCATGCCAGTAGGTGGGCAACTGTTGGAGATTCCTTTGTCCCTTGAGATCATGTACTGGATAGGAAGTTCAGGGAAGCCAAGCTAAGAGAGTTGGGGCCAGCTGTTTGGAAACATGATGACTGTAAGTGCTTGGGCTACAATTAAAATACATACTTTGCTGGCCAATGTATATTTGTATGATCTGGATTTATCATTGAAAAAAGTTTGAGAGTTTAGTACTATTTTTAATAGGAACAGTTTGTTGAAAAAAACAAAACTTTTTTTACTTGTTTGGTTGCCTTAGCTGTCATTACATGCAAATCAAAGGACACTACTTTGATCTCCCCATAGAAGAACTATACGAAGTTATTTATAACAGTAACATTTCTACAATGTATTTCAAATTGAAGCCTACAAACACTATTTTCAGGCTTAATTTACACAGGCTGGCTGTCTGTGATGTTGTCTCCAGGCAGAAATACCATGGCAGGGCAAAAAGCCCTGGGATTAAAGGTCCAGAAGTCTGAGAGACATGCAAATGTTTTTCTATATGTAGCCAGTACTAGCCAAAAGATGAAATTTGCAATTTAAAAATGATTCCATATAATACATCAATGAGTTACTTTTTCATGAGTTTTCATTAAACAGAAAATACAACCATTGATACGATTTGTGATTGACGTTCTTCATGCTGTCTGATAAGAGTTACAACCCTGGACAAATTGTTAAAGTCCAGTAAATTCCATTAGATATTAAAATTGCAGACAGGCTCAGACAATTCTGTGTTGTGCAACCTCCCTCTCACAGACTTTACAAGGACAGTGCTTACAAACATTTGGCCTACATTCTCATAAAGTTATATTTGGGACAATTCAGAAAATGAGGGTGTTTGCAAACATAGCGGCATCCCTTTGGTGAGTTGAAATACAACATTTTCAACATTTCCATTTATTTTAATTAATTGCAATGTACTTATATAATAGCAAACACATACAATTAAAAGAATAGTGTGGAAACACCTACAGATAGCAGAATCGTGTGTGTGTGTGTACACTGAGGATGTAGGTAGGTGTAGGCTAGTTTTCCTTTGTTTCTTAAAAACCTGTTACTGCCATACATGCAATTCAACACAGTACACAGTGTAGTGAATCCTGGTTGGTGGAAATCTAAATTTATGTGTATGACATTTTTTTGCATCTGCACACAATATGCAAGCAATAATAAATAAGATACATAACATGTAATTCTTAGAAGCTACAAGAAAGAGTAATATAGCCATTTCATTTTCAGAGTGACAGAAATGGGTGGGTAGATGGATGAATGAATGGATAAGCACAGTATATGGCACATCTAGAAATCATAATTTGTTTGTAATTAAGTGGTCGGTGTATTTGTATTATGCATATTCAATAAAATGATATGTTCTTAGAAAATGAGTATCTGTCAAAGTTCTAATGTGATTTCACAAGCAGAAAAACTGATACAGTATAATAAATTTTCTTTCCAATGTCACATTCCCTGTATCACATGAGGGAACTTGTGAGTAAGAGCAGATGTGTACTAAGTGTAAAAACATGCTAGGAAAACTCTGGATATTCAACACAGGTACTTTAAGACAGCTATATTCTCAAATCACTCATCAATCTGATGAGATATTGTAATTCTAAGTGAGAATGTTGAAAATTTTACAGACATGACCTTTTTTTTAGCTGTAATTTAAACTTTGCAGCATTAAGTTACAGGAATTGCACTTAATGTTAATATTCATGATATAAAAATATAGGTATTGGTTTAGATATAGATGATGTAATGATTTATTTATCAGAGCTTGGCTATACAAATTATTATGTGAAATATATTCAAGAGAACGTGAGATATTGAGTTGACTTGTTTTCTAAACATAAAAAAAAGAAACTGATGCTATAATGGACCTGAACTCATGGACCTATCATATAGGGAACATCTGCAAGTGTTAAAGCTAGACTCCGGGCATATAGTTAAATACACAAATTAAATACATATATGAATATGTTGTCTTACCTGCCAAATGACTTGTAGTTTAGTCCTGAGATTTACACTGCTCTGCCACACAGCACATCCCTGTTTGGCATGAATGGGGACCTGATGTTTCTCTGCTACAGCTTTCTTTCTCTTATGGGTCTCCTCACCACTTCCACCCTATAACTGGACAATAAAAAGAAAATCAGTAGAATGATAAGTAGGGATGCACCGATGCCAATACTAGTATCAGTGCCGATATTGAGTATTTGGGTGAGTACTCATACTGACCCAAATGCTGCCGATGCCTATCCCAAACTTCCGGTATCAGGAAGCCAGGCGGCGCATCATTACACGCTGCCCAGTTTCCTCATTGTCCAGGAAGCTGGCCTGGTAAAGAGGTAGCATGGAATGGGCTTTCCAGCCAATCAGGAAGCCAAGCGATGAACCATTATCCTCCCCCCAGCTTCCTGATTGGCCAGAAAGCTGGCTACATGCTTCCTTTAAAATAGGGTTTTTTTTTAGCTGAAAAATATACAAAGTGTTTGCTTAGATCAATACACATAAATTCATTTATATTTAAGATGTCAGTTAATACTACAATATTTGTCCATCTATTGCTTTTAAATACTGTTTGCTAGTATTTTAGAACATTATGCTTATTTAGTTTTGGGTTTAGGTTACTAAGAAAACTAGTGAAGGTTTTTTTTTTTTCACTTATTTTCTTGCCGACTTTAATTTAAAATAAAGAATTAGTTTAGATTATGGAAAGTTTTTGTTTTCCTCTGAAATAAAGAAGACATTTCTGTGTTCTGTATAATCAAAAACAAGGCAATTCCTGTGAAATAATTTTGTGGTATGAAGTGAAGACATGAGAAAAAAACTAGAGTATTCTAGCTGAACTCCGGCTGTAAAGATTTATGTATACTTACATTGGTCCACCTTGGCACAATGTTAGTATACATAATTTATCCCTGGTAGGGCGACTGGGATCCTGTAAAACACCATAATATCCAGAGCTACTATGATGCTTTACAGCAATCTTGCAGGTCGTGTACTGCTACTGATATCATGGCACAACCCAATTAAAGAATGGCTTGTATTCATTGATAAAAAAAACTTAGTGTTCGCTGAATGGCCGTTGTGCCGACTGAGTGACCCTTTGTATATTCCAGATCATCTAACTTTTCTGAAATCGCGCTCATCTTGTGTGAGGCGGCCTTAAGATACGTGCTGTTATCCGCCATGCCACCCTCTAAGCAGTCGGTGCGTTCTTCTATGGATGATAGCCGTTTGTAATGAGAGTCTATGGTGGAGGATAATGTACCCAGATGTAGTTTGATAGCTTCAATACTATATTTGAAATATCATGTTTCAGGTGGGAGGCTACCTCAGAGGCTAATTTAGTGTAATCAATGGGGCAGAGGGGCTGTGAAAATGAGGTGGATTGTACCTGCATTTCTCCCTCAGAATCATCTGTGGCACTGTGTGTCGATTCATCAGCAGCAGCAGCCGGCGCCATTTTGGCTGCAGTTTTCTCTCCCCCTATGCTGTCTGTCAGTGAGCGGCGAGCGGACGGCGGTCGTGAAATAAATCTATCCATGTCGGGCAGCGGGGGTGATGTGTCCGATCTGTGATGCCTGATCATGTGGCGAGGCGGTTGAGAGGGTCAGATGGGTGAACAGCGGGACGGAGGAGACGGGAGAGCCGTTAACTCATCAGGCCCCGGAACCGGAAGTTCGACCCTTTGTATTTTCACAGTAGAGGGAAAGTCACTCAGCACAGTGGCAGCACAGGACCTGGAAGATCACTTTATAGAACTGTAGTAGCTGCAGCTACTACAGTGTTTCATAGGATTTCGGTGGCCCTAGACCAGTGTAAGTATACACAAACCTTTATAGCCGGAGGTCAGCTTTAACAAAAGCTTTTGTACATTTATCTAAATTACATAAAATGAAATGCTCAATAGAAAGGATGAATCTACCAGGTTTTATTTTCAGGGTGTTAGTCAAATTCTGAATCAAATTCTCAAAATCCAAATTAAGCAGCTAATCCTTTTATTGTGACTAGGAATGGCCTCGATGTTCGAGTCGACCAAGAGTTTGACTCAAACATTCGGCGAACACACGAACTGTCAGGGCATTCGGTGGGCTGTTCGTGTGTGCACATTGCCTTGTGAGCCCTGATTGGCTAAAGCCTTGCCCAATCAGGGCACAGTGCTCTGTAAGAGCCATGATTGGACAAAGTCATGATGACCTGTCAGATGCCGTACAACTGTAAATAGTTGGGCGGAGCTAGCTAGCTATTCCTACCAGACCTAAAGGGTCTGGTATTGTTTGAGAGGAGGAATTCTTCCCCCGCATGCTTCTTTTTTTTTTCTTTTGTTTTAAAGTCATTTTTTTCTTTAGAAATTTCATTTTTGCTGCAGCAGGATCTATACATTGTACAGATGTGCCACTTTACAGACAGTTTAAAGGGACCCCCCAGTCACGATATTTAAAGGAATTTTTCATTTTTATTGTTTCACTTTAAGTGATGTTAAAATCACTGTTTAAAAACTGTATTTTTAAAAAGTTTTTTTTCATTGATACATATCCCCCAGTGCAGTACCCGAATCCCCATACCCTTTTTATTGCCATTAACTTGCATATAAACCTTCAAAATAGGGATAATTGATTTTCAAAGTTCAACCCTCACAGACTTGCATTGAGTTTGAGTTTGAATTCAAGCTTTTTCCATGTTCTAAAGATTGTGTTTGAACCGAACAGGAGGGTGTTCGGGCCATTACTAATTGTGACTTTGACTGCAACTTAGCCATCACAGCCAGGAGGCCGATTATATGTGTAAAGCCGATGTAACGAGCCCCTTGCTCGCTCGGTTCCACTCTCCCGGCACTCCTTAGATTTCAGACCGCAGCGTCTGATATTTCGGACATCCGATAATTTGGGATTCGAACTACAGCTCTGTGCCGTTCGTATCCAATGCTGATAGCTCACAACAAACATCAGGCAGGCTGCATGTAAGTTCAAACAGGAATCTTGTTTATTGGATGCACACACACACTTTTATAAACAACAGTTTGAAGGTGGCCCAACCGACCACCTTCCTATTGGTCAACTGTAAAGCATCCTCCAGTCCTCATCTAGGTCCTCTTGGCCATGCAAATGAGGACTGGAAACAAGGCAAATAGGGATTGGTCCATAATCTCTAGGAAGGAGGCTAGCCCTCAGGCTCCTCCAGCAGCCCCAATGACGGTTCAGTCCGTCACAGCCGACAGTCAGCTTTTACATTTTACCAAAGGTCTTTTTTTATATAGTTTTGGCTTATCCAATGGTATTAGCCCTATATTAAACAGCCACAACAGATCTAAAAGCTATAGGAAAATTAACTCCTTAATAAGAGAGAGATGATGCAGGTTTTTTCTTAAAATAGAAATGTAAGAGTTTTACCTGCGAGACTAAAGTCACAAATATTGTTCAATGGCTAAACAGTATATAAGCTGCTCATTTAAAGTGGACCTTTACCCCTTGACTAAAAATCACATCAGCATACAGCTCTGCATGCTGACATGAAATCATCTTACATTCATTAGCTAAACAAGAACATTCTTATTTTACTTACTTACAATGCTCTGGAACAATTACACTTTAATTGTTCCAGAGCATTGCGTCCTGGGAAGGTTACATCAGAAGAGCATTGCTGAGACATCTCATCTGTAATCTCATGACATCTCAGGGAAAGGCATTTTCCTACCCTGAGATGATGTGCATGGTCACATGTTCTAGTCACATGTGTCAGAGTTCCAGAAAGTAAAGGGAGATCTAGTAACCTGCCCTTAGTTAAAATGGCCACTGTCAGAAGACTGGATAAGAAAAGAAAAATAAGGAATGCTAAAAATAAAAAGCCAGCAATTAGCTAGAAATTTCTGTTTGTAGATTGTCATTACTATCATTCTAAAGGTGCCTTTGTTGTTATTTTGAAGATATGGGTAAAGTTTCTCTTTAAGTCACAGCAAAAGAGGGAGAGATGATGCTGATTTTGTCTTGAAATAAACATTACAGTGCATTATCTCAGACAATAGCTGCAAATATTGTTTAGTGGCTGGAAGGTATGCGAGTATCTTGGTAAGGCTGCAATGTAGGAGTGAGAGATGCAATACAAATTACAGTTAATTATCTGAGACAACAGTAAAAAATATTTTTGGGTGCAGAAGCAGCGGTGTAGACCACACATTATGAGGCACAATACTTGTTTTTTTCCTGCAGCAAACATTGGAGATTTGGCAAATGAGGTCCAGCTGGTGACATATTATATATCAATTAAGGTTTTCGCACTATCCAAAATAATCAATAAATAAATATATATCCTTATAAATCTGCTGTGTGAATATCTAAAAAAGATATGAAATAAAATACATTACAAAATACAGTGCTAAATCACCATCCAATAATCCAATATCGAAACACATCTCCTTAGACCAATAAATAAATATGTAACAAATAATCATGTGCATATATAAATAAAAATATAAAATGCCGTCAGTGCCGAATCTCCTAAAACTTCACACTTCGAAGTGTAATATAATCATTCAAAGTGTAGATACCATCCACTCTCCACATGGATTAAACTCTCCTGCTAATTTTTAGCACTTTTGAAAGTGTGGGGTTAGGCAAAAGAATGTGTGATTACTTTGATATTTGTTTTTATAATTTTATTTAGGAGCATATTTTTACGCTATGAGCCTCTCTTCACTGTACCTTTCTTTTTAGCGTTGAGCAACTTGGGGTCAATCAAGGTAAGATAGGTCTCAGGTATCTCTGTATATGGTGATATACCTGTATGTGCTTTCTAACCTTCCTTATCAAAAGGGGTCACTGGTTTCAAAGAGATAACAGCCACAAATAATCTTGACTGAATTAATAAAATAGGCCACAAACTAGGAGGCACAGAGCAAGATTTACCCTGCAGCAAACACTATATGGTACATTTTGTAGCTGAGGCCCAGTTGCAGAAAAATTATTAATGGCATCTTTGCAGTGTCAGATCACTGGGATAGGGCAGTAAAGGCATCACAAAATGGTAATGGTGGCAGGACAGCAGTTGTGGCAGGATGTGGTAATGGTGGAAGGGTAGCAGAAATGGAATTTGATGGTATTGGTGGCATGACATGGTAATGGTTGCAGGACAGCGGCAGTAGAGGGAGATGGTTATGGTTTGAGTCCAGCAATGGTAGAAAGAGCTGACTATAGTCACAGGAGCTGGTGATGGTTACCTGACATCAGCAGTGGCAATACATGGTAACGGTGGCAGACCAGCAATCGTAGAAGGCAGAGGCGTAACTAGAACCTTAAGGGCTCCGGTGTAAGAAACCATGAAGGGCCCCCCCAACCCCCCGCCGCCATGGCACTGTGTGGTTAACAGGATGGCTGCCGAGGTCCCCAGCAAGCGCGGGACCTCAGGCAGCCGCATCATTTAAAAAATGTAGTGTTGTGTTCTGTCGAGAACGCCGACCCAATATCTGCATTTACACACAGACAGGATTAAATGAGGAAACTCACATTTATTTACAAAGTATTAGTTTGTAATGGTTAATTGTGACCGTTAATAATATGCTGTCCATAGCAGTAAATGATGGATGGAATATTATTAACAGTCACAATTAACGATTTAAACAAAATACTTTGTAAATAATACTGGTCTGTGCGCAAGCGCAGTTGCTGAGGTCGGCAAATTCGACTGCGTCAGCGTTCTCGATAGAACACCGGTATCTGCATTTAGTATTGGGGCATTTCCACGAGTATGAGTACTCGTGAAAATGCCCAGTATTGGCACTGGTGTATCTCTACTTATATAATACTAATATAATGCATTGCTGGGACTTGTAGTCCCGCATAGTTGGTACTATTCTGCATTGCTGAACGAAGCAGAATGTGCTGCCTTGCGGTGCCTGCAGCACATTCTGAACGACTAGTGACAACCTCTCCATCCCCGCCGCACAGCCGCCTGTACATGCTGCGGGTGGCAGAGCAGCGGGGAAGGAGCGGCACGATCTCGGGGGGGGGGGCCTTCTTCTTCCTCACTGGGCCCCCCTAACAGGCGGAACGCCAGGGCCCGGTCGCAATTGCGACAGCTGCAACCCTGGTAGTTCCACCAGTGGTAGAAGGAGATGGTAATGGTGGTTGGGCAGCAGCAGTGGCAGGAGATGGTAGTAGTGCCAGGCAGCAGAGGTGGAAATAGCTGGTAATGGTAGAAGGAGAAGGCAATGCTGGCAGGCAGGCAGCGGTGGTAGAAAATGGTAATGCTGTAAGGTATAATAATGTTTTTGAGGCCAGAGTCACAAAAAATTGTTTGTATTGTACCATTAGCTGCAAGGTTTTTGTACTTACTGCTGATCTAAGACTGGTTCATTTTTATAAAAGGGAACCAGTCAACTGCGTCAGGGGATAGGTAGATTCATTTCTCTATCACAAACCCCCATTCAGAGAAATTGTGTCCCTGGGTCTAGTCATGACTCACAATTCTGGTCATCTCAGAGTGATGACAAGTGGACCCATGCATCCTGGATCAGGAACCACTAATGTGATCAAAACAACCCTAGATACCTAAGGCCTGTCCTCCTCCTGTACTCACACATATACTCATTGGTGGCCCAATGAGTTCCAGCATGATGGTGTATTGCAGTTCCGGTGGTTGATATGCAGCGTGTGTCGCTGCCACATTTCTACCAGGCAAACAGCATGGGTACATTTTGCATGGGCTGTTGCATAGGTTGAATATGCAGCACTTAGGTGCAAAAAAATGTAAAACAGTAAATTTGCAACAAAAGAAAACTGTCACATTTGTCTCTGAATTCAATCTATTGGCTATCTAAAAAATGTCCCAAGCTGCATTATAGTTGCTTTCTTTTTTTAGTGTCTTGTGTTACCTAGTACTGGAGATTTAAAGGTACAATGTATAAAAAGAATTGATAGAATTAAATGTAAGGTCTAGAATCAATGCTTTCTAAAAATAACACTTGATCTTGATCACTTGATCATTAGGTTTTTGTGGAAGTAGTGTAACATGTATCTAGACATCCTTGAGCATATTGCACATAAAGTAGCACTTAACATACTGTACTATTTGTAGGTAGTTTACATAGTTACAGTGTAAGTAGGGATGTTTTATGCCAAATATATCTTCCAAAAAATTACTTTTGACAATGGTATACGCAGTGTTTTATGCTGGGAGCTCATTTCTCCCCATGTGGCTTATATAAAAAGGCAATATGGCTCCAGATCTAAGGATCAAATTTCCCGTTATCCTAGCTAACTAATCAAATTTGACTGAAAAAAAGGTACATTTAGAACACATTCAGGGCAAACAAAAAATGGGGAAAAAACATGTATGAATTTTAATTCGTCTTATGCCAAGATACAGTCTCTGCAAAATTCATTATCAGATTTACTCTACTAAATTTCTCACTTACGTACTCATAATGTTCTCTCTATTTTGACAGTCCATTTTTCATTCAAACTATTTCCATTTCTATTGTGCTGCTCTGATTAAACACAAGGCAGGATTGTGCTGCATGGATAATTGGGAAATTAAGTATGAAAACATTCAGTAGTCATATAAGAGGAAACACACGCATATGCACAGACCACACTCACCAGAGTTGGTGTACTAAAGGGAGAAAATGTTTGTACTGATGCTCTGTTTACTTTGAAATACCTAAGCAGTTGCAGGAAAAGTTGAGAAAATAGAGATTTCCTTTGGTGTATGACTGTATGATTAACGTGAACAGACCTACACTTGGCAAAGTAATTTTTTAAAATGGGGAATCAACCCCACACACAAGCACACACATAAACACATATACATACATGAAGGCTGTTCCGGTGATGGATGTTGCATGAGGTGGCCATTTTTGTAGCTCATGGGTGTGCATTTGCGCACATACACACAGGCAGTCAGCTCAATAACACAGAGCCTGTTAGAAGTGCAGGCTTTGAGCAGGCACAATGGCCAGCAGCACTGTGCTGGAAGACATTCAGGGCGAAGTGGCAGAATCTCTTCTATCCAGGGTCTCTTTCATATCATAGGGATCTATTCATAAATAATTTGCAGGGGCTTTCGCCCTATGAATATCTGTGAATGTTCATTTTGGGTGAACAATATATATTTTCCCAGTTCAAATGTAGTGTTGTAATTTTACATTCTGACCACTAGAGGGAGTGTGTCCCAATTCAAATGTAGTGTGTTGTAATAATACATTATGGCCACTAGATGGAGCTGAGTAGCATAGGGAAAAAGTATTTATTTCACAAGCTCCCTAGCTCCATCTAGTACAGGTTTCATAATGTGAGGCCAGCCTCAGGTCTTTTGCTATTTTTCTTTCTTCACCCTTATAAATCTCATCATATTGCGATGATTTGATTATCAAGGTATAGGAGTTTTTTTTCCAGAAAAATACAATTCTCTTTATATAAGTATAACAGAATTGCTATATGTACATGCTAAATTAATGTACATTTTTATCTGAACAGTTTTGAAACAGTTGACTAAGTTGGAGCCAGATCAAAATATCTTTCAAATTAGAAATTTAATTAACTTGTACGTGCTTAAAAAAAGCAGTATAATCATTCAATCTGTGCCAGTCATGGATGTAGCTCTAATATTTCCTTATTACAAGGATGGCAGAAACTGGATAGGTATAAAAGAACATTCTCAAGGAGTCTACACAACCTGTGGTTATTTTATCTAAGCTTCTAATATTCCAGTTAAGTTACTTGAAAAGATCAACCGTAGTGATAAGTTGTTACTGAAGGAAACAATTAAACTCATTCACATTGAACACTTATTTTCTCTTATGGCACAATGGTTTCTATTAGAAGGAGCATTGCTTAAACATGAATGTACAAAAATTTATTCTGCGGTCACATTTTTAGTGACTCTTTATATACTTGCATCATTGGTATTAATTGAGTGGCTGACAGGCAGTGTAAACTTATGCCATTCCAGAAAGCCCATTAACCGATCTCTTAATTACCTACCATCTAATTTACACAGTCTCCATGGTAATTATAGTCAGTCACTGCTTTACGTGCATTTATTCAGCAACAAAACTGTAATCCATATGTGTTAGTTATTAAAGGCTTGAGTTGGCAGCCCTTGAACCTGTTATTTTAAAAGAGAAGTATTGGGAGAGTAAAATATACACTTCCCAATATTTAGAGCTGGCATGGGACACTGCAGCTGGCTCTATATACCAAAAGCTGATCGCTCATCTCACGGTCTCCTTCCTGCAGAGTCACTCAGTCACCGCCACCAGCAGAGATTTCCCCCTCCCCTCTTCTCCATAACTCACTGGAGGGACAGGCATGGGAGGGGCAGGCCCAGCTAGCTCTAGCTCTGGAGAGGCAGAGCCAGTTGTCAATCAGGCAGCTGGTGGATCCTGACAATATTTTAAGGACCCTCCCTAGCTGCAGCACGTCTCTGTGCTGTCAGCAGATAGCTGGCAGTAACCCGCTATATGCTGACTTTGGGTCACAGGAGTGCTTTAGTAAATATAGTACTGTGAACCAAAAGAGAAGTTAAGCCAAAAAAAAAGGTTTAACTTCACTTCCCTTTTAAATCCCTATCGATAGATCTAAAGGACATTATGTCATTTTGCTGAGCACATGGGTGATCTAAGGTATTGCTGTTTGTATCTTAAAGCAACTTTTGATGTTAGTTGCACATTTTGACATACTTACTTCTCCATGTTTTTTTTTACATTTTTTATAATTATAGAGATTTCAGATGACGAAAGGAAGCAAACACTCAATATGCAACTGCTCAGCCACTCTTAAAAACTGCTAAGAAAAGAAACAAAGTGAATACACTGTTTTCAATAAGTTAGCTGACTTATAGGCTACCACAGTGGGAAGCAGCAGTAAACTATGATCACACAGGTGGCAGCCTCCACCTCACTCTGAAAAGCGAACCACTCACTTTTCAGAGGGCAGTGTAACAGCGGCTACCCAGCATTCAGGAGGCAATGCTGCTGCATCCTGAATGCATTAAAAAACAATCCCATTGGGGACTTCCTATTGCAATATTGTAACACAACTTTGTAATCCACACAGTTGCAGCATGTCCAAGACACATTTGTCATGCACCACTTTGGTGCCCAAACTATATTTCTATAGTCTATTTACAGCTTAATTCTTTTTTATAGACCCTCTCAGGCTCATGGCTATGTTTCTAAATGGGAACTGGGCTTTGAAAAACTAAAGTCCGCTGAAGACTGGCAACAAATATGGACTACAGTGGCCACCTGTAGCAATAATATTACCACCTTAGAAACTGCATTTAAGGTTCTTACCAGATGGTATATGGTCCCCTCCAGACTGGTGCTTTTCCACCCTATGCAACCTGTTACATGCTTCCAGGGGTGCAATGCTAAGGGAGATGTCATGCATATCTGATGGCCCTGCCCGATGTTAAGCAGGCTCTGGGCTAAGACATTTAAGCTTCTACAGAGCCTACTTCATACCCCACTTCCAAGGGAACCCTGGTTGGCACTCCTACACCTTCAACCTCCCCCAATCTCTCTAAATCTCAACACAAGTTGGCTACTTATATCTTGTTGGCAGTTAAACAGACTAATTCACATGCCTAAACAAGCTATTTACTTCCTTTGTTGAGGTGAAGTACAGGATCGATTCCTTTTTTATTAACAAAAACCTATCCAGTATACTTATTGACTCACACAAAGTTTCTAAAGGTGTGGAATCCTTGAATCCTATAAGCCTAAAGCAGTGGTCTCAAAGTACCGGCCCGCAGGCAGTGGCGGACTGACAACACATGGAGTCCCCGAGCAAAATACGATTATGGGGCCCCCTTGTGCTCCACCCACCCACAAGCTCCACCCACCCACAAGCTCCACCCACATATACATTGTTGTGTTACAGAATTAGTTCTCCACAATATTTTCAAAATAACAGGTCTATTCACTGAAAGTTGTACTTAATTGCTGGGGAATTGGTAGGAGAATTCTTCAGTTCTGCCAATTATCCTGGGTACATTTCCAGAGAACTAGTAGGAGAATTGACAGGGGAACTGAAAGGCTGGGGGCCAGATCTTACCCCCCAAACACCCCCAAACACCCCTCCCACAGTTACACACTATTATATTTATACAATTATATAGCTCTGACATATACCATAGTGCTGTACAGAGAACACTGAGCTAGTCACATCAGTCTCTGTACAGAGAAGCTTACACTCTAATGCAGAATACCATCAGCTATATTGGTCTACAAATCCTACCAATACATTATACAGCAATGCAGAATAATAGTATATGAATTTGGTACATACTCTGTGCTGGTGCTCTGCTCCAAGGTGCCGGCCAGATGTCTCGGGCAGAGGGTCTCAAGAGGGGTGCGGAGGGTCCCAGGAGGGTTGTTGATGGTCTCAGGAGGGCAATATGTGCAGGCCACAGAAGCTCTGTAAGCGTTCGCCATGTGGTTCCCCAGAAGGCTGCTACACAGGACCTAATGCAGCAGCATCAATTTTAGATATTACATTTCTGAAATGCAGAGTTCAGTTGTAATGCAGAAGTCAGCGGTGTGACGCAGAGTGCAGAGGTCAGCGACATGACGCAGAGTGGAGAGTTCAGTGGCATGAAGCAAAGTGCAGAAGTCAGCGGCGTGATGCAGAGTGCAGAGGTAAGACTAAGTTGTAACACAGAGTGCAGAGGTCAGTGGTGTGACCAGGGCTGTTCGGATCTCAGCATGGCTGCGTGCTTGTCTCACCAGGGCTGTGTGCTTGTCTCACCAGGGTT